CTTATTTTGTTCATGGTTCAACCTAAAATCAAAACATCATAAATTTTTATTGTTTTTTATTTAAAAAATAAATACAAATAACAATGTGTTGAAGTAATAATCAGAACCAAAAATAAATTTTTACATGTAAACCACACTAACATATGAAAGCAAAATTAATATTTTTTTTAAAAAAATTGATATATAAAAACATATCTAACATAAAAAATGGGATTACTGGTTCTTAAAAAAGAAAATTTACACTGAATCAAAGTTGGGTATACGCTCTTCAAATAACTCAATTTGGCTAGAAAATTTACACTGTATATTGGACCTGGTGATAGGAAGGTACACGTGAGAAAAAGTTAATAATTTTAGTAGCTTTGCTAAAAACAAAACATAAAAAATCAAAGTATAATCGAAATAAACAAACCCATAAAATATATCCAATTAATGAGAAAAACAACATTCATTATAACAAGAAATAAAAAATGATAAGACTAGTAGATCTAAAAAAAATAGCAAAATTATATATATGTATTTATTAAAGTCTTAACAGGTATAAAAAATTAAATTACTAATTATCTTGTTATTTTGATAAATTAATTGATAATTGCTTGCTTTAACTTTTATACCTTGTATTATTAATTTTTTTGGTTAGGTTTGCAAAGAAGAAAGAGAGAAACAGTAAAGTAAAGAAATTTATTGAAAAGTTTATGTTTTCCGCTTATAGAAAAATCTGAAAAGAAAGTTTATGTTTTCCACTTGTACAGAGATCTGAAAAGTTTATGTTTTAGCTAATAAAATAATAACTTAGTATTAAAAAGTTTATTATTTATTATATTTTAAAAAAAAAAGTTTTGCAGGCCCGGCCCTGCTGGCCTCCCCTTAGTTCCGCTGCTGTATATCAAGACCCTCTCTTGTCTATATATACTCTGTGCTTCTGCTAACCGGTCTGCTTAATTTTTCCTCAATTAGGTAATGCATCCTATCGATTTCTGATCCTACTTTGAACATTACTAATTGTCTTTTAATCGTTTCCTTTTCTTTTTTTTTAACTAGTTGAGTTATGGACGGCTACAACAATCACACGCCTGCCCAGGACTCCACCAATATCGGAGGCCAATCTTTGGCTCTTAAAGGAGGAGCTGCCGGGAGCCTCCTCCTTCTACTTGCTTTCATAATCTACGTGTTCCTCAAGAGGTGCGATTCATGCACCATCATCTTCAAGGTGAGAGCTGATGATGCTTCCAGCAGGCCAGTGGAAGAAGCCTGAAACAAGGAGGTAGGATTTATAACAAGCTGGCTTATACATATACGTAGAAATGACATCATACTTTTCTTTCAAACGCCACTAAATTTAATGAATTGTTATTACATTAGATTGCACAAGAACTTTAATAACATCGAATTTAGACAGCTAAAATTATTAAACCCCGCCAATTTAATAACCCAATTCATGAAGAATTAAATGAGTCAATACATGTTTGTCTACACTGTTAATCATGATTCGAACCACCATTAATAATAATGAATTTTAGCACTGTCACCTACAGCTTAAAACATGATTTATGATATAGAGAAACACGCCTTTAATCTCTTCCATCTAAAACACCCGTTGGTTTTAAATTGAGTTCTTGAAAGCATTAATTTAGACGCTTGCTAATATATTGATATTAAAATTATTTTTTAAAATAAAAATATATTATTTTAATGTATTTTAAAGAAAAAAATATTTAAAAAATAATGGTTGGAATACCGTTTTTAATTTGAATATATATATTTTTTTGTACCCTATAAGCAACCATTTGGCATAAACGAAAGGGCGTTTTAAATTGAAGTAGTCTAATTACTCTTTTTTGGGTAAGATTTCTTGGGTCACAAAATGTTACCAAACCAAAAGCACCTCTGATTTTTCTGAAAATGCATGATGTCATTCTCAAACTCAAGAGAATTATGATGTCATTCTCGTTCTGAAAATGCATGATGTCATTGCCGAAAAGTCAAGTTAAAATTCCCTC